CACTGTACAACTTACTAGATTTCCTAAGAGGGTTAGAACAAGGTATTGTAACGGATAGGAGGGCCCAATTGAACTCCTGGGCGTAATGCAAACTTCACCACATATCTATATATCGTTAACTTAATATAGAGAGACGCTATGTAATACTTTTATTTCTATAAAAGATATTAAAAAAGTTAATAAAAATTTAAGTACCATAGTTACAACTGTATTTTTTGTTAAATACTTAAAGTTATTTAATTTATTTTTTTTTATTTGGTTTTCAATTAGTAATATGTACTTTGTTAAAACTGAATTTTGAAAAAGAAAGTGAGTTAAGAGCGTGTCAGACGTGGCAATATTTCCAACTTTTCCACGCAATTTCGATGTGTGACCGCCAGAAAGACCATTCTGTCACATTTCGGAAATCAGTTTCAGAAATGAAAGTTGCAAGATGTGACTGCAATTGAGAGGGCGCAAATCAACTTCGGAAATATATTTCAACTTGCTCGTGCCGCACTAACAATCTGCAATTCGTCTTTCAGAAATAAAAGAGCTCTTTCGAAAGACACTTTACATGCAAGGTGTGACTGCTCATGCAACTGCTTTCTGAAATTTCTCAATTCGACAGCCTTTTCGAAATATATTGCATTGCCACGTCTGACAGGCTCTTTAGGTCGTGCTATATTATTATGATGAGAAAAAAGCTGGACATGGTTAGATCCCATGAACGAAAGACACAAGATCACGCCTTCCCGAAAGAAAGAAAAAAGTTATTTTCTAGCTGTTGAAATCTTTGTTGTAAGAAGTAAACAACGAAGAGAACAAAAAAAACACGTACTTGTTGAACGCATGAATAATCATTTTTATTATGCAAATTCTTCTATAAATTATGTCGTTGCGTTAAATTATTCTTTACCTTATGTGTGCACACGTTGTCACAAGCGAAATGCAGTAAAAAGCCACCAACAAATTGTAAACAACGAACAAATGTAAATAAACGGCTAATGTCAAATTCGCCCGACTTTTTTGCTAAATGCGATTATAACGGGCTACTAAGAAGAAGGCGTGATCTTGTATTTTTGGTTCATGGTTAGATCCTTTACTAGTTTCTCTCGTCAGTATTTAGTAAACAGACATATTGTGTTTTGCATGGTTTGCTGCGCCAATTTAAGTTTTAGTTCTGCATGTGTGTATTTAAGTAGGTACCCAGAAGATAATTTGCGTAGGCCTTCTTAAGTAAAGCCATTCTAAGAGGCCTACCCAAGAAGGGCTGAAAAAACCGCTTCCTTGCACGGCTTCTAGAACACATATTTCATATAAACCTTAAGGAAATACTTCAAAGATGTATGATTTTTATAAACTAAAGAAGCAACTTTAAAAGAACTCCTGCAAAAGGCCTTCTGAAGTACGTTCTATAAAAGCCGTTCTGGTAGGCCTTCCACGGGTAGCGAAAGAAGGAGCCCCTCAATTTGTGCCACTCCATACAAAATAGAAAGGAGAAAGAAATGTAGAGTGGAAGGCTTCTTGACTCTCAGGAAGGCCTTTCGGAAGGGCTTTTAACTCCTGAAATTATCTACTGGGTATGTATGTATGTAGATATACGACGTTATTTCAACATTGAAAGAGCTTGTAGGAAATCGCTATCATTGGCTATATTCTGTATTACAAGATATGCACTACTTATCTTCCTATCGAGTGCAAGTATTGTATGTTTTTTGACAGCCATTCTAACTTAACTGCCATAATACTTCAATTTTGCTGTCGGCAATCCTACATCATTACCAACAGCTACTGCACTAGGAAATAAGCCCATAACGATCACAAAAAAAATCAACAAATGAGCGATGGTTGAAAATTATCAAGTTCATTGCACGTGTCTATGCTAATGGTTCCAAGTAATGGCAGTATACAATTCGTCTACGGTATACAATATGAATTGTATAAGACACCGAATATCATAAAACAAGAAACAACACCAAGAACAAAGTAACCAAAACCCGTTTGGCTTTTGCCCTACAGCCTGTTGTGCTAGCTTTAACACAATAAGCCGTTCTTGAGGCTCTCGTGTTGAGGAGAAACAAATGTTTTATGAATTTTGTTACTCCACTCAATTATCACTCCTTGTGCCTTGGCAACGATTTTCTCCTAAAGATTTTTGTTTGTTTGTTTTTGATATTATGACTTTTTTGAATGTTTTTGGTTAAAAGTGTAACCGGTTTTTGTTGTTTGAGTGACTTTCTTACTGTGAAAAGTTCCTTTTGTTTTTGAAGAAATGCTCAAATAAGTACAGAAAGATGTATGTACATATATACATAAGTACATACATATATGTATGTAAACACGTGTTTGTATATACATACATATAATGCAAGTATATGGATATATGTACACATCTTTAAACATATGTATGTAAATACAAGCATTCAATTTTATATCATTTTTGATCGATAACTTTATTTTATTTTCCACTCAATTTATAAGGTAAAATTAATTATTTCATTTCTAAATTTTTTAAATTATGATCATAGTTACCTAGCATATCGCACATTTAATAATAAAGACATGTAACTCAAAATTCACGTTTTTGGAGATTTCATCATACCTACAATTAATAAGCTTGATAAGGAGAATGGCCCGTAGTCATAGTCAAAATAAAGTCGACTTTAAAATTAGTTGCAGCTTTTTTGACAGATATCCCATTGAAAATTATGTCAAAAAGCTGCAACTAACTTTAAAGTCGACTTTATTTTGACTATGACTACGGGCCAATATGTTCAGCGTAACAGAAAACTAAACTCCCAAAAATAGCTAAGATAGGTGTCCTCCATCTGTCTTTTGGTATACCAATTGTATGAATTGATCAAACTTTGATTGCGTTTTCCCACAAAAATTAAATTTTGAAATATTAAATTGAAAATGAAAAAGTACTCCACAGATTTGGTATGTGAAGAAATATTTCTACAACTAACGAAAACCAGGCCGATAATAACTAGATCCCTACCAGTTCAAAATCAGCGAAATGTGGTACTTTTATATTATTTATTTTTTTTTATTTATTTATATCTAAGGTGACGCATTTAGAATTAGCTCGGTACTAAAAAAAAGGGATGCAGAACGAACTAGATCTTATCTATAGAATTTAGAACTAGTTTGGAGCGTACTTGAGCGATAGACGCTTCCATTCTGAACTTCGCAGATGCTTTTTCATTGCTTGGTAATACAAAACAAAATTTTGTGTTAACATTTTACCATCTTGGGACCATATGGAATCTAACCAATGACAGCAAGCACCTCTGCAAACTCAGTTACAGCCAAAGGTATGTAAACGTACATCTCTTACAATCATTCAAACAAATTTCATTTCAAATTAAAAACACATTTCTTTGAAAATAATTTAAAATCGCACACATGAACCGAAGATAGAAAAATCATGATACTTTTTTCTTTCGTCTATCGATTTTAGAACTGGTTCGGCACCAAAGAATTTAGGGCTAGTTCGGAACTATCAAAATTGGCATGCAGCGGGGAGCAATTAACACTTCCTAGGACATCGCCATGTTAAATTTGCCAGTTGTTGGCATGCAAAAGAGATTTATCGCGAACCAGTACTGGGTCTAAAGCGCACCAGTTCAGAACTAAAGATTTCCCCACAGGGTGGTAACTAGAACTAATGACTAACTAAAATTTACATGTTAAACCTGCTTGCAGGTTTTTAGTGGAAAAATAACAAACAAAAAATCACGTGCAAGAGAAACCAAAAACGTAGAGAACGTAAGAAAACTAGAAAGCTGCAAATTATTGCATTTAAAAATTTTACTACAAAAAATTTAATAAGATTGGCCGATCCACAAATGCTATTTGTGGTGTGCGTCTTGACGTTATAACACAAATGGAGGTAGTTACAATATTACGCCGCCTCCGAACAGTAAATGGATTTTATGAGAAGCTTTTTTCAAGGCAGAAATACACTCGGATATTTATTATTACCAGGGAACGGATTTTATGGAAATTTCCTTTTTTTCTGCTAAAGAGATAGAATATATTCGATTAAGAATGTCCACGATTTAGCTTTCCCTGATTCCATATATACACATTTGATGTTGCCTTTTTTGCCTTTTTTAAGATATTTGCCTTTTTTTTGCCCTTTTTAAAATATTTCCTTTTCTTGCCTTTTCTACCTTTAAAAAATCGATTATAGCATTTACAATTTTTTTTCAAAGATTAAAAAATATACACATGCCCATGCGGCTTATAGAAGCGCAGGGACCTCTTGCCAAATTGGTGTTGGAAAAATTCAAAGCCGTTTTCTCAGCTAACGTAGGCTTGGAGACAATAAGAGGTGTGGATAAAATTATAAAGGGCGAGGAAAACGCCCTTATTCCTGATAATATGAACGTTTCAAACGTTACATATTTAAATTGGGCTCCACTTCTATCAACTAACGTCGAGCGCACATTTAGTACATTCAGGCTTTTCTTCGCGAAAATCGAATGAAAATGCTGCCAGAAAACTTCAAAATGCATCTTGTGGTTCAATGTTACTACAACTGTTGTTGTAGAGCTAACCATATTTTTATAAAAAATTAGCGAAAATAAAATATTTAAAAAATAGTTGCCCGTATTGTAAAAAATTCGCTGTACCTAAACTTTATTGACTGACTGTAGATATTCAACTGTTTCATTTAACCTTAAAGAAATGGATCTACAAATAAAACTTCAAAAATTTGCCAACAGCTATACAGCATTGTTTTTCCTCATCGATAAAAATTGTTTACCTTCATACAATAGAAATGAAAAATTCTTGAAACGTGTAATTTCTTCCCCGTGATCACATATTTTGGCAATTTTTTAGTTGTGTAGTGTTTTCAGAGAGCATAAATAGAAATTATGTTAATGTTGCTACAAATATACTTTTAAACGCACAGTAGATTAATGGTTCCAAATGGGGATCTTTTGTGTTTTCCAGTTAAAATTATAATTGAATTTTATAAAAAAAAATATAAAATAATGCAAACTCACTTGGATTATTATTCGCTTCCAGCCAGTGTGTTGCGGCCTGACAGCCGAAAGTAGCTCGACTTATCCCCTTACAACAGGACCAACGTTTTCCAGTCCAAAGACCAGGATGGTAGCGATATGACTTCGGTGTGTTCGTTTGTTCACAAACTAGTAAAAAGATGTGGTAAATTTGCTATATTTATGTAAATATTTCAAAAGTAGTAAACTAGCATATCGCCATTATCAATACAACAAGCCCTAAGTGTTTTTTTCTTTTGAAAATGCATTTATTAAGTATTTTCTGTGCTCTCAGATACACCCCCTAAATGTAGGGTGATATCCTAAAATTTTTCATTCCACTCACCTTGTCTTATGGCACGTATCCAATCATCACGTTCCTTTTCACTACTTGCTAATAAATATAAAATGTATTGCGGTACAGAACGACCCGATTGCGTTTGATCGTTGGAGGACTCACAGTAGCCAACTTGGAAAGGATACCCCTGCAATGAAACAAAAATATTTATTTAGCTAAAATTCATCAAGAACAAATTTATAGATATGGGTTTTACGGAGTACTCACACTTGGCGCGAACGGATCTCCGCCTTCACCACTTACAACAGCGGTTTCAACCAATCGAACACCTTTCACAGGCACCCGGCCACGCTCTCGACGGCGCTACAAGTTAAAATATTAAAATAATCATATGGAGAAATATTTATATAGCAGATAAAATTGTAGTACAATAAATTGCAAGTTTCAAGCGGCATAAATTCGTGTAGGTTTTTTAATATCTTCTTTTTTTTTGCTTGATGTCTTTGCATTTTTCCATATTACCATGAATTTCTTGAGGAAGATGTGCAAGACGGTTTGCGGAAGATTTCAAAAAATCAATCCGACTTTATAAATTGCACTGGTAAAACATATGGTAAAACTCGTAAAAGTAAGAAAAAAAATATTTAAAATAAACACGAACTCTTAACTGCTTCAAATATACACTTTATTTAATAAAAACTCCATGCTCATACCCATGGTGAAATTATAACAGGTGTAGTACTTAGAGCGAAAAGAAAGGTTTAAAAATTTATAAAAGATAGCCGAATATCAAGAAAATTAAGAAAATAAAGCGAGGCAGCTGTTTTATTACTTCACATGTTTATAATTTCACCATGCGACATACCCAAACAATTTTCAAAAAAAAATTCGAAATTTCGATGAAAATTTGTTGATTTTTAAATTTGTTAAAGTTTGAAGCTTTCATTTACATAACATGGCTGAGTTCCAGTTCGAAAACGCCTTATCTCAGCAAACTTTTCATGAACGCCCTATTTCAGAATTTGGTTGAAGAACGCCCCTTTTCAGAACTTTACTGAAAACGCCCTATCTCAAATTTTTTTTCAAGAACGCCCCATCTTAGGATTTTGCTCAAAAACGCCCTACCTCAACTCCAAATATATTGAAACATTATTTGAATGGCGGTTTGAGTCAATGTACCTCAATTTTTAACTTTATTGTTTCGGCATATCTAAGTACCTATTTTTATAAATTTTGTATTTAGATATCTCTAAATAGATACTAAGTACGTGGGTACGCAGTATCCTAACAAGTTCTTTATAAATTTAAGCATGCCCATCACTGATAAGCATGTAACGGGTGATTTTTTTGAGGTTAGGATTTTCATGCATTAGTATTTGACAGATCACGTGGGATTTCAGACATGGTGTCAAAGAGAAAGATGCTCAGTATGCTTTGACATTTCATCATGAATAGACTTACTAACGAGCAACGCTTGCAAATCATTGAATTTTATTACCAAAATCAGTGTTCGGTTCGAAATGTGTTTCGCAAACCCAATTGCTGCGAACGGCGACGAATCGACATTTCACGGTCTTCAGCAACACTCTCAGAAACAGACGCAATATTCTCTTCTGTACGCACTGTACGCATTCGTGTGGTTGGTTTAATGTCCAATAAAGTAAACTGAGTGCGAAACTTGGTCACAATCGCATTAATTGTTTGCTCACTTGGTCGATTATGTAGACCATAAATCGGACGTAAAGCGAACCGAACACTGATTTTGGTAATAAAATTCAATGATTTGCAAGCGTTGCTCGTTAGTAAGTCTATTCATGATGAAATGTCAAAGCATACTGAGCATCTTTCTCTTTGACACCATGTCTGAAATCCCACGTGATCTGTCAAATACTAATGCATGAAAATCCTAACCTCAAAAAAATCACCCGTTACATACATATATATGTATATATACATATATATATATCTATATACATAAATATGTATGCATTTAATAGTAATAGTTGATATTTTCACATACGCCTAACAATGTAGCAAACCTGCGAAAGGTGTTTCTTTTTCATCAGTGTTTTGTTTTTTTTTTTGAGTTCACTGAACCCCCACCTAACTTATTACACATATTTGCCTTTGCATTTTGCTTTAATGCCGAATAGACACCCTGATATCTAAGAAAGGGAGAGATAGCGGCCACGAATACGACATGCTCAGGAGCTGCAACTTTCCACTATTCTAATGTTGAAGTGTCGATGAAGGCCCACTACAAAATCATCCCTTTCATTTAAATTTTACAGCTGAATGGGTTTGTTTACTTTGAATTTGTTTGTAGTATTAAAATAATACGTTCATAAATTGTCAAAAAGGAGCGCGTCAAAAATTTTAGTTAAAAGTGCTACCAATAATAGAACCACTTCAGGTTGTGCAAATGTTTAGTCATCTTTACTTTTTAGTAATCAATGCGTACTGAAAGTATTTCTTGGTGTTTGTTTTCATGGCTTACATAAATAGACTCAGTAGCCGGTGTTGTATATACTAAAACAACCTGACTTTTTGCACCCTTATGCATATGTTTCTATGGGTGGGGCTATAGGTAGATATGTATGTATAATGTTAATGCAAATCGCAGCATCTGTGCTTTTACCTTCTTCGATTGAGAAATCGTTTTTTATTTCCAGAAGAAATATTCTTAAAAACCACAAATGGTATAAAATTAATGCCTATTTTTGGATCAGCATATTTTTTAATTGTATTTTGTATATTTTCCAGCACTCTTTCAAACGCATTTGGGCGTGTTTTTCACCGCGTATGTATGTATGCGCGTATGCGATTTATGTTGCAAAATTTTAACGAAAATTCGCTATGTTTGCAATTTTTTAGTGACTTTTTAAATCTGAATAAATTTTTTATGGATAGTCACTATTTTTGAATTAAACGACGAAAAACAGTCGCTTGCAATTACTTTGATATTAAATGCTTAAGCAATTTGTAGCTTTTATGTAGACACGAAACCGGCAACAACTTTTAAAAAACAATTTTAAATTTTTTATCTATGTACATTTTAGTTGCAATTTAAATAATAGCCCGGCAGACTTTAGCCAGTAAATGTAACACAAATCTACACACATCGCCTACAGTCAGTACACTCGATATCCTCAACGGTCAGCGCAAAATATAAGCTTATTCCTGCTTACTTGGCAGGACTTAGGTTGTTTATTGAACGAATACTAGCTTGTATGCGCATATGTACCAATTGGAAAATACAAATTCTGCCAGACGCACTAAACGAACGAAATGGGGTGGTTTTTATTTTGTAGAGATTTTCCATTCACTTGGGAAAACTTTATACAGAAAGGGAAGACAAGAATATGTCATTGCCAGCTTTATATGTAAACAAGAAAGGAAAGAGCTTTGCGTTTGTTGAAGGCTTCGTTCGAAAATTTCACTTGAGTCAATATTTTCAGTTTTAATCAGTCGTTTGGTGGCTACATATTTAGTAAAATACTAAACAGATTTTGATGATTTTCACTGTGTATATGATAAGTAAATAGCGTGGAAAATGTCAGGTTCTTACTTACGCCAATGAAGGAGTTTTAAGTAAAGGCTCAGTTACTCTAGAATTAACTTACGTAAAAAATCGTCAATGATTATTCGGCACGTCAACTTAGCCAGAAGCGAAAATATTTTATTTTTGTTTTTCAGCTGATTGTCACTTTGCCGCCTATAAGCCACATCAAAAAAAATACCTGAACAAAAATATATTGCGTTGGCTAATATATTAGGTTACGTTACGTAAATTAAGTGGAGACTAACTGAGCCTTAACACAAAAACTCAAATCTGTACAACCACCGATTTTGATCATTTGTTTCAGATTTTGTGTGATCGATAATTAAATGGCTTACACAATTTTGTGGCTTTTACTATTCCAATGAAAGAGTTTTAAAACAAAACCTTATATTTGAACAATCAGCTGTATTGGAGCTAAGAGTTGCAGTTTTCTAAACTTAACGATTTTCTGTTCATGATAAGTGAAATGAGTACAAAATTTCGTGCTATTTGCTGCTTACCTGGAGGAGTAACAACGCGAAATCTCATACATAAATAATCGGTTGTGATTGATGATTAATACATTACATATAATTATAAAAGACTTATCGGTATAAAATTTCAGTTGAATATCTTTAGATGACTATGCCAGTTTATCCTATAAAAATTCCAATCGACAGATAAAATCGTTTTTCTGAGAATAACAGTGAGTCTGCCCTCCGTAGGTGCTATGTAGTACACGAGTACTTTACTATAGTTAAGAAACTTTATGAATATTAAAAAAAATCATGTATCAATACAAATTGAACAATCTTGTCTTATGCATATCTTTTTGAGTAACTGCAATTTCAGTAACGTTTAAATTACAAATTTAAATTATTATGTTTGTAAAAATTACTTATGAGGACTTCGTTGTAGACTGGAAAGCTGCTCTCTCCGACTCTATAATCTCTTGTGTGAAAGTATGTACATATGTACACTTTTTCCGAGGATACACAAGGGTTCGGTAGATATCAGTAGACCGGTAATTTCCAACGTGTTGCATCAGGTAAAGACAAAGCAAACAAAGGAGTCTATGATAAAAAGCGATGGCACCTAAACAACGGAATGTTGACTGTTTGTTCGAATTAATAGCCAAACGATTTTAGCATTTATAAATTCTTTTCAACAACACAGAGAAATTTAGCTTTAAATTTTAACTGTAGCTTTGGTTAACAAACTTTGCTTCTACCAAAATACATATTTAGGGGACAAGGCACGTTACCCAGTAGATAATCACGAGTTAAAAGCCCTTCCAAAAGGCCTTCCTGAGAATCAAGAGACGTTCCTTTCTCCTTTCTTTTTTGTATGGAGTGGCACAAATTGAAGGCCTTCCTCTTTCGCTACCCATAGAAGGCCTTCCAGAATGGCTTTTATAGGACGTTCTTCAGAAGGCCTTTTGGAGGAGATCTTTTAAAGTTGCTTCTTTAACTTATAAAATTCATACATATTTGAAGTATTTGCTTAAGGTTTATATCAAATTTGTGTTATTGCAACTTAAAATGTTTATTAAAATTCATTTGTAATGCATTATTCTGGAAGGCATGCAAGGAAGTACTTCTTCAGCCCTTCTTGGGTAGGTCTCTTAGAATGGCTTCACTTAAGAAGGCCTACCTAAATTATCTTCTGGGTAAGTGTCGAAAAATCTTAAGCTGAACATTTATTTGTGTGATATAACGGTTCAAATGGTTTTAGGGTACGTATGATGAATTTTTTTTATCAGTTTAGAAACATTTCGGTGTAGTTAAAATCCTCTAAAACCATTTTAATCATTATTTTATTTAAAAAAAAAAATGTTAATTTTAAGATTTTACGACGGTTATCACGTCTTGTGAATCCCTTTATTATTTTTAAAGTCTAATTTAGAACAATCGTACATATATTTCAACTCAATCTAACTTACTTCAACGTTTTCCATATCGAAATATGATAGAGATTTTTTAGTTAGTTCGAACCAGCGTTGTTTATAGTTGACGGGTGTAAAGCGTTTTTTATTTTGCGCTCTTTTTACCATCGATCCACTTTTGACGACATCGTATAATCTTTCCGATACTTTATCCATTTTGCTTTGGAATGATTTGCTGCTGCAAACCGTTGAAGTTGAAGATCGAATGCTGCCATGGGTAGATCGGTTCATATCTGATAAGATTCCAATGATGACCAATGTGGAACTTTATGTGAAATCGAGTGCAGCACCTATTATTTGCCTTTAGCTTGATTCTCATCTGTTACATTTTTTTATTTTTGGCAAATTGCTGTAATAAATAAAAAATAGAATTATGTATCGCTCAACTCTAAAATTAATGTATCAAATATTCACATGAGAAGTAATGTACTATATTTATTCATCTATATTTCAATCCATGGTTAATAATATTACAGACTTACAGATTACACCGAGTACAAAAATAAGTTTTATACGTGAATAATATTAACATAACAGGTACATGGTAACTTGACCTAAGAGTAAAACGATTTAAGCGTGGACTTAAATAAAGATCTTGATGATGAAAATTCAATATCAAACTCTTAGAAATGTTATTGCATTCCGAGAGCGCTCTAAATATAGTCATATATGACTGCAAGTTTATTAGTTGGTAGCGAGTAGTATAGGATGGACGCGGGTTGGAAAAATTATGTGGCTGAAGAGCAAATCAAAGGCAATTTATTTGAACCCGTTCGATTCTCAAAGCACGACAGCTATAAATAGGGCTACAAATGTTTGACGCATACTCTAATTTTGAACTTACTAACGAGTTAAAAAGAATTTTCCTAGTGTAAGGGTCCTTAAAGTCCTTCGCATATCGGAGTAAAAAAGCTAAGTTACTATGGCTGCATTTCTTTATTCATTCTGAACGTTTGGAATAAACTTTTTTGTTTATTTATTCTTTAGAACGTTCCTGATGATATGTTGACGTATATTTCAAACGCATTCTGTTTATTCCGGCTGTGAAATTGGATTATCCGGAATGTATAAAGAAACGCAGCCTATATGGCATTGGGAGCAAGTAGCATACAAAGCTTACAAAACTAAAACCGGAATCAAAAACTAAACCCAAATCAAGAAAATCTTTTACCGCAGTGAGCTTCTGTTTTTAAATTGAGTAATCTGAGAGAAATTTACAGTGGTATCTGGAAATTGTCATATGGAAGAATTTTTTTATAATGAGCCACAACTTATTTCTTAGACTCCCAACTGATTAGATTGTTAAAATCATGCTTTTCACTCGGGTTTACGCAACTCGGGTTACGGAACGACCCAGATTTATATCTGGCCAAGGACTGTCACTCCAGCAACACTCCCCAAAGTCTTTGGGGAATTTGTATGCTGCTACAACAACAACCGTTCCCACGACAGTCGGGTCTACGTAACCGGAACGACCCAGATTATATAGGACTGTCACTCCAGCAACACCTCCCAAAGTCTTTGGGGAATTTGTATGCTGCTACAACAACAACAACCCAGATTCCAAGGACTGTCACTCCAGCATCACTCCTTAAAAACTCTTCGGAGAATTTGTATACTGTTACGACAACCTGTCAAGGTCATATACATACATATCGTTACCTTAATTCACAAAGACCAACACTTTTTTCGTAACTGCGTTTTCGCAGATTTTGGTAGGATATATTAAAATACACCTTCACTAAAAATTTGAGAGTGTTAATATTAAAAACATAGAAGTTATGCCACCTTTTAAAATGCCCGGTCCGTATGCATGATTTGATTTTTATAATGTTTTTTGCTTCTCCTCTAAAATATAAAATTTGTTTTTTAGAGCCTTTGTGCATAAGATGACGAGTGATAGTCGAATAAAGCACTGCGACCAGTAGGTCTATTGTGCCCTCAGCTAATCACAGTACCACACCTAGCCCTAGAGACTAGGAATTTCAGAATTTCTCTCTCTTGGCCATATGTGCCCTATGCTCCTCTCTCTTCTACGTGCGACGGCCTCACACTCCAGATGTAATGGAGTCTCCTTGGCAGCGTCACAGAAGCGACATAGGTTACTAGACTAGATTAATAAATTGTATAAGTGCCCTCTGTAGGGACACGTCAAAATACCTATAATGGCTCTTAGTTTCTCCTTTCTTTTTAGATTGTACCCTCCTATTAAGCTTTAGGACTGACGATGTTCCTTGGTATTACGACAATAGTTTCCGTAGATTGGTGTTTCCCTTCCTGAGCGCTTCCTTTATCGTATTGGGATCTATTGAAAGAAAGGGCTCCGGTAAGGTAACGATAAGTAGCATGTATAGAAATTTATTATCTTTTTGATTGCGCTCCTACGACAGATGTTCCCCAAAAATGTTTGGGAAATTATACAAACAAGGAATATTTAATGTGCCTTGCATACAAGTATGTAGGTCATCGCGTCGATCGATTCATCGTTTTGAATCACATTTAATTAAGTTCATATACAAACTCTATTAAAATATACATATATATGTATGCATTTAAATATACAATGAACGAATATCATCAAACTACCTTGCCACAAATGTATTATTTTAAATACTTTGTAATACAAATTTTTTAACAATGGAACTGATAAAATTAAACCATTTTTCAACAATAGAAATTTGATATCGAAAAATTGCTATGCCTTATCATAGCATTTGCGAACTAAGCTCTAGTTGTAAAATGATTGTTTATTTTTTAATTGTAAAAGCAGTTGAAAATTTCGTTAATACATTTTACCTACTCCAACAAGAAACGAAGGATTCCCAAAAAACCTTACGAAGCCTTAAATTCTACGAATTTCACACTCATGCAGATCCGCCCATTCCCCGCTTTACATTCCGATCTACTTGTATATATGTATGTAGGACATATGGATTTCTCGGCAAATACAAAGCTTTGTGCTTCCATTTCCTACCACCAAAAACACTTAAAATAGATAAACCTTAAGTCGGGATCTTTAATATTTCAATCTTAAAGTATTTATTTATCGTAATTGCTTTATTCAAATAAACATTGATTCACCTGATAATGTTTCTTTAAGTATTTATTTTCAGAAGACTTCACGGATATCATCGCACAATCAACTTCAAAGCCTGGCTTTGTCCACTCTTCTTCTTTATGACTGAGCCAAAGCGATCGTTTCTCTTTGTCTGTTTTCCAGTTTTTTTGGTTATTCTTCTTTATTCTTCATTTCTTATCAGGGCTAGGACTCCAGCTAGCTTTCATTGGAGTAAATAACATGAAGAATCGTACCAGAAAATAAAATTATGTAGCAGATTTTTGTACATTGTCCGTTGGCTTACTCTGCGTTTGCATTAGACAAGACTATTAGATAGCATCATAAACCAACATTTTTTTTTTTTGAAAAAGCATGTAAAAATCTTTCGTTTCCCTGCTACTTTACTATTCTTAACAATTATTCTGTTCTATTAATCGGTGCGATTTGCAAAATATTACTGAATATTTGTAATGAAGGTAATAAATACTCGTATTTCATATGGAAACTGCTAAGAACGCATAATTTACATCATATCCATCGATTAACTGCCAAGCTTTTGCCTTTTTATTAATAAATCTCCAACATAGGTTTCTTATACCGTACCGATTTCAAATCATACGATTTGCAGAACATGCCTATATAATTGGAAGTCAATCACACTTTAACCAAAGTAAGGTGGCTTCTATTTCAAATAACTGCAATACGTTTCAGCGATATAGCAGCAGAAAACCAACTTGAACAAGTAAGAAAGTCTAAGTTCGAGCGGAGTCGAACATTAAATACCCGGCGCAAGTATTAAATATATGTTTTCCACCTTTCCGAAAACTACCGCTGCAAGGTAAGCCGCGGTGGTTTTACCCCTATTTTAAACATCTTCGATGGAACGTTCAGTTAGACAAAGTGGGCGATATCACGCATGTTACTTCTTTTCAAGGGATTGTTTTTAGTATCAATTTTGAGTAAACTAGCGTCTTTAAATTTCGAAATCTTGAAGTTTCAAGCATTTCTGAAATTTGCCGTTCTATGAAAAGCGGCCGTAATTTTAGTCCGATTTCAATAATTGTCAACGTTTTGCTTTTATGTGGCAAGCACATACCGAGTTTGCTACAAATTCGTACAACGGTTACCGAGATACATATATGTGATCATAAGTGAGCGGTGCCACGCCCATATTCCAAAATTTTATCATAAATGTATTTCTCGGTAAAAAATTGTTGCAAGCATCAATTTTGAATAAATTAGCTTTAATATTTACTGACTTACCGAATATTTCGTATCTCTCTAAATTATCGTTATATAGGATGTAGGCGTGGTTATTGTCCGATTTTAAAAATTCTCGGTATGTTTTACAACTGTGCCAAGTTTGGAAGAAATTGGTGCAGCGGTTACCAAGATAGAGATACACATGTAACCATAAGTGGGCGTGGCTAAGCCCATTTTCCAATAATTTATAATCTTATTTTTCGTCTAAAAATTGCTGTAAATATCAATTTTGAGTGAATAATCGTCAGTATTTACTATAATATCGCAGTTTTCGTATTTCTGAAAATTACCGTTATATGGGAGGTAGGCGTGGTTATTGTCCGATTTTGCCCATTTTCAATACCATCCGTCCTACGCCCGAAAAAAAGGGAATTACCAAGTTCCGTTAAGATATCTCAATTTGTACTCGAGTTATCATGTGCACAGGCGGGCGGACAGACAGACAGTCACCGGTTAATAAATTTCTCTTTTTATTCTGATAATTTATATATACATTTATCTATGTCTATCTCGATTCTTTTGTCTGGTACAAGCAAACGTTATGTGAACAAAGTTTTAATACCATAGTGCACAAGTGCGCTCGGGTATAAAAATGACGTTTCATCCATTAGACTCGAGAACAAATTGCGAAAGTTTGCCGTTTCTAAGAAAGAATACATTTAAGGAATTTGTATACATGTATATACATAATATACTAACCGTGACTCAAAAAATTACCATGCAGTAATTTTTTACAATATTCGCAAGGTTTTTCTTAATACATTTTTTCATGGATTTTTTTTTTAAATATGGTTGATACAATAATAAAAATGTCAAACTTTCCACAATTCAACAAGCTTTCGTAAAACTTTCGAGTTTTTAATTAGATTCTTTAGACCAGGGACCGTAACGGTTATAAGTTTTATTATAAAAATCACTTTTTAATCGTTATTAACTGAGTTTTATTTTTTGCTCGGAAAATAATCGTTACGTTTTAAGTTTTATTTTTTGCTCGGAAAATAATCGTTATTTCTTGAGTTTTATTTTTTGCTCAGAAAATAAAACTTAATTTTTGCGTAACGATTATTTTCTGAGTAAAAAATAAAACTCAAAATATAATGATTAAACTTGATTTTTATAAGTAAAAATTAAAAAATAAAAATCAGTGCCGTTGAAGGTACTCCGAATAAAAAATATATTTGTTTACTCCTTATGCACGTAACATTTCTCTTTCCGCGTGATTTTTTGAGTTGAAATTTTGAAGGATAATCGTTATTTGCGGTCCCTGCTTTAGACAAAATTTTGAGCGTGAAGTTTCATAGCCCATTTAATTTTAATACAGTAAAGCGCGAGTTTAAAGTATCCAAACAAAAACTTTTCCTTTTTTGGGAAGCACTTACTTTTGTATCAATAGAGTAACGCAATACAAGTCGCCTCAAGCCAATTTTCGCTTATCCATTGCATTACAGGTAATGCAATGGCAAGAAATTTTACATTTATTCGATTACCTCCAATGATATGCACTTGTTAACTGTTTACACATGTTAACATGTTTTAACTTAAATAATGCATTCTGTAAACGAAAAGAATTAATAATAGATTGGCGCTTACACATATGTTAGTGTTTGGCCGAGCTTCTCCTCCGATTTGTGGCGTGCGCCTTGATGTTGTCACACAAAGCGGAGGGACCTACAGTTTTACGCCGACTCCGAACGGCGATTGTATTTTTATGAGAAGCTGTTTTTCATGGCAGAANTATATTGTTTTGCGATGTTGCTTTGACCAGGGCTTGAACCCAGGCGTTGCGGAGTGGAAGCGCGCACTGCTTACCACTACACCACAGCGGACGACGAAACGAAAAGAATTAGGGACCCACTTTTTGAGAATTACCGCTTACCTTTTCTTTTACAGAATGCATTATTTTAACATGTGCATGTCATTGTAGATAATCGAATAAATGGAAATTTTGTTTGCCTTTGCATTACATGTAATGCAATGGATAATGGTGCATTTACATGGTATGAATCTGTTCATAAGCCGTATGAATTTTCCTATAAAAGAAGCACCAACTCTATGAAGAAATGAATGAAAGCGATATATATTTAACAATTTTGACTTGTATACTTGACAATA